TGAAGAATCGTCAGCTGGAGAAGACTCATCGTCAGGCGAAGAATCGTCAGCTGGTGAAGAATCATCGTCAGGCGAAGAATCGTCAGCTGGTGAAGAATCACAATCAAGTGAAGGTTCTGTTTCAAGTGAAGGTTCATCTGCTGGTGGAGAATCATCGTCAGGTGGTGAAGAATCATCGTCAGGTGAAGAATCGTCAGGTGGTGAAGAATCATCGTCAGGCGAAGAATCGTCAGCTGGTGAAGAATCATCGTCAGGCGAAGAATCGTCAGCTGGTGAAGAATCGTCAGGTCTTGAAGAATCGTCAGGTGGTGAAGAATCATCGTCAGGCGAAGAATCGTCAGGTGGTGAAGAATCATCGTCAGGTGAAGAATCGTCAGGTGGTGAAGAATCATCGTCAGGCGAAGAATCGTCAGCTGGTGAAGAATCAGATTCAAGCGATGTTTCGTCATCAGGTGGAGAATCATCGTCAGTTGAATCAAGTTCAGAACAAGAATCATCGTCAGGCGAAGAATCAGATTCAAGCGATGGTTCTGGAAGCAGTTCATCTGACGGAAGTGTTACGTCAGAATCTGAAGTCAGCTCGTCTTCTGAAGAAAGCAGTTCTAGTTCTGATATTTATATGGTTCCTTCCTATGGTTCTCTAGGTAACAAAAATTAATGCTTATGGTTGATAAATTGCTGGGATGTATTACGAAAATATATTCAATGTTAGAAAAAACGTAAATCAGTCGGCAGTGACTGACTAATCAGCTGAGCTATATGTCTTTTGAAATCATTAGCTGCAACTGGCAAGAAACAATTTCCATCCGATTTTCGTTTGACTTTCATAGCACCTTGTTATAGTTTGTGATTCGTAAATGTTTCCATAACGTTAAGGGAGATGTAAATAATATTGCCCATTTGATTTCTATGTCAGGTGAATTTTTCTAGTATTTAGAGTTCTCATCTTGGTACAGTTGTTAAACAATTTATTTTCGCCATGAATGCGACTTGTTATTGTCTCTAGATAGGAAAATTTTCTAAGTTAACAATCTTTATATCAACCTAAACATATTTACTGTAAAATTTTATTATAATTCATTTATTTATTTATTTTCTCAGATCCATATTATTACTATTACGATTGCTATTATCCTGAGGACGATGATGATTATTATGCAGATGATAGTTATCCAGAGTCGTCGGCATCAGCATCAGCATAAGCTTCCTAGAACTACCATCTTCGAAGTCAAAAAGCACATTAGCACATTCGTCTATTTATAATTCTAAAAAACTAAAAATCTATTGAGGAATATCTCTAAATTTTTGTTTATGATGCGTTTTTCATGATCAGAAATTTATTAGAAACATTATGTATGCAAAACCTATTCTTAAATTGTATTTAAAGCAAATTAAATTAATATTTCTTACCAGCTTTGTCTGTGTAAGCATTAACCTATGATTTTAAAAACTTCCAATCTGTGTTTTCTAATTATGTAATCAAGTAATATTATAATCTTTATTAAAAATGGTTTAAAATATCTAATAACAGAATTTATCTAATATTAAATGTGTAATTATTATGTATTTATTGAAGCAATGAGATAAGCAAAATAAAGTTTCATTGTTGATAATGTAGTTAAAACATTTTTTTTATTTAAGAACTTGAAACATTCAACAGCATTGTTAATTTTTCAGATCTACATTTCTTGTTTTAAACAGTCAAGTCTTCAATTTCCTGATAGCAAACATTAGAATTCAGATTGATATACATATTTTGATAGATATTTCATTATAAAACTGTAATATTTTTTAACGACATTGCAGAACTTCAATTCAACATACATAAACGATGACGTAATATTTAAACTATGCTTTAAAACTTGAATATCACCCTGTTGGTATGTGCTTAAAACTTTCCCCTGTTGTTATTATGCGCATGATTTTTGAGCAACTGATATAATGAGAATGTATTTTAAACGAGGGGTGAATTAAGGGAAAGGGAAGATCAAACTACCAACGATATGGTTTCTACCTAATGCGTAAACGTTTTAATATCACATGTACGAGAGCCATACCATTCTTGCGAGAGTTGGTTGAAATGAAGAGAGGGTTTTATGTGAGGAAACAAAATTTTCATTTTCCTTTTAGTCAACGTTCGGCGGCGTTATCCGTTCTATGTATTACTGTGTATCCGTTTTTCTTTTTCTATGAAAAAAAAAGAAGTGTAATGAGATTCTTGTTTGATTTCAATGTTACTATTTGATGTTAATGTAAATTCACAATAACAAAAAAATTCAATTGGATTTTTCAAAAACCATAAAGAAAACGTGAACAGAGTAAAAAATATTTGTGGACAAATAAATATTGCAGATCAGGACAGGTCCCGATCTCATGAGTGTTTCTTGTTTCTTCGTGTAAGTTATAATTTAATTCACAAAAATGCATAAACAAGAATATTGTAGCCAACATGATCACCTTTTTTCAGTTTCATATCCCTAAAACAAGTCTCTTAAAAAGTTTATTTTTAAATTCATATCGCACGAAGTAAAAGAACAATGAAAATGTGAATTTTCTAATGAGATAATATGAAGAGGGTGAGAAATAGGGAGGAGAGGTTAAAGCAAGCATACTACGTTTTCTATATAAGAAACAAGCTTTTCAGTGTAGTTTATTTTTTTATACGGAAGAAGTTTTCTCGGACAGTGAAAATTTTTTGGTAGAATCGTTTGTGTGTGGAATATTTTAAGAAAATTAACAAGAAACTTTCGACATATTTCAAAATGATAACTTATTATGAGTGAAATGAAAGGAAGAAGGTAAAAACTATTAAAGAAAATCGCATATTCACAAAAAAATGGAAATCTGCGCATTTACCAAAGGAAAAGTTTTTCGACCATTTTTGTTTTCCAATGTTTTGCTATTGCAATAAGGAAAAGATTGAAATGTTTTGCATTAAATGAAAAAAAGGATATTAAGTGTTAAAAATGTTACAAAAAAAGTTTTCAATGAAAGCAAAAAGTCGTAAAAATCTAAGTAAAATGAAAAATTTTCCAAATGCGATAAAAGTTTACAAACACATGCTAAGGTTGAGAGGGGTTTCACTCATATACACACAGCCTTTTGCACAACACAATGTTAACTTTAGGCCTACAGTGTTATCTTCATTCCCTTATTGAAACAACCTCGTCCACCCCCTTCCGAAAAAAAAACGTCCTGCGCCTATATTAAACTAAATTTTATGAATGTAATTACGTGTATATGCGTGTGTGTGTGTTAGAGAGCAAGTGAACGAATTCATCAACGTGTTTGTGTTTTGTTATTTCAAAGCCATAATTTTCATCCCTCGTATATATTTGGAACATCGAATGTAGATTTTTTTTCTTTATGCTTTGTTTCATATGCTTCTGATGTTGTGAACATGTTGCGATTGTGTTAATCAAAAATTGTGTTTCTCATCACTATTTTAATTTCTTCTTTCAGAATTAAGTTTAAATTTCAAACTTTAAAGAGAAATTTGAAAAGAGGATGAAGATATGAAACATTTTTGTCGTCAATAACAAATGGCAGTAGCTGGTGCTTCTGATAAAAAATATTTAGAATCTTTAAGATATTGAAATATTCTTTGAAATAAGAATTCAAATAAAATAACCAAAGTCTAGTCATTGACGGAAAGAAGTTCTTAAAAAGAAAAACTGAAAAAAAAAGAAACAATAAAAATAAGAAGCATAAAAGTTTTCAACCAGTGGGAAATGGAAACTATTGAAGAGATTATTGAACAAGAAATCGCCGAACCTCTTGTCGAAGAATCACACCACGCTCATCATCGTTCTCTTAGACATCCACATCATCACCATCATCATAATGGATCTGTCGTGATGGTAAACCCTCAAACTGGACAAATGGTGGAACACCAACGTCATGAAATGAATAATAATGGTAAGTTCCTTAAAGCTTCATTAAATATCTAATTAAAGAAGACCCTAAACATTATATAAAAACAGAACAAATGGACCATCAACGTGGCCGAATCATTACACACGCAAGTCAAACAACACCAAACTTGGAAATGGTGAAACAGGAACATTGTGTTGATGCTGTTGGTAAGCTTATCAATAAATAGAAATTTTAGGAAATAATTTAATGAACATTTATTGCCATTGAAGACAATGTTTCAACGCAAATAGAACATCATCATCACCATCAAAAGCAGGAAACACTTTCAGTGATTGTTCAACCACATGACGATTCACGTGATTCAACACAAATTCTCAGTCCTGGAAAGCTAACACCATGTTCAGAAATGATTGATACGTCAGACTTCAGAGCAATAAATGAACCAACTTACCAAACACTAACATCCGTGAATGGTCGTATGTCACCACCAGGTTTCAGTCCGAATTCAAGCTACGCAACTTTGACACCACTTCAACCTTTGCCACCTATCTCAACAATGTCGGATAAGTTTGCATATGGTCATGGACATGGTACGATGAACAATCATGTTACATTATGAACTGTTATTTTAATATAGAGAGAATGTTGTTTTAGGTCTTGGCGTAAACTCACCTTACAGTTACGACAAATCACCTTCGATGGACATATCACCTCCACATAGCTACTCCCCACTACCGCAATCAATTTACAGTCAAAACGGCCTTCCATCGCCCCAAAAAAGTATGTCACCTGGCTATGAATCACCATACAGCAGCCACAGAGATATTTTAACAGCAACAACAGCCACAACTCGCCAAAACGGCGGATCATCTGGTGGACAAGCACAAGCTGCAGCAAGTCCCGCTTCACCACCTCACAGTTATTCACCAATACCCCATGTGTATGTTCAAAATGGTCAAACACGTCAAAACGGAAGCAATGCAACTCAAAATATTTCAATAAACACATCAGCACCAAGCCCCACACTTAGTGCTCAATCTGGTTCGCTTCATTCTCCTAGTGAGCAACAGCAAATGGATAAATTATGGAATGGAAAACTTATGGAACCATCACCATGTCCAACAACAAATGCTGGTCATCATCACAATGGATCACAATCAACAGGTTTCGTACAAATTTCCCAACAGCATCTTCAGCAATCGCATCATCAACAACAACAGCAACAACAGCAGCATCATCACAATCAAAATAATCGTGAATTAATGGGAAATGTGTCGCCACCAACATCAGGCATGCTTCAAAGAGTGAGTTCAATATTTGTTGATGAAATATTTCCAATAATCTATTTGCTTTTAATTGAATTTCTAGACACTCAATCATAATGAAAATAATGGAAATAATAGCAATATAAATACAGCAAAAAGTAGCGGTAAAATGTCAGCATCTTCAACTGCATCGCTATCATTAACAAGTGACGTTGAAGAGATTAATACAAAAGAGCTTGCGCAGAGAATAAGTGCCGAATTAAAGCGTTACAGCATTCCACAAGCAATTTTTGCGCAGCGAGTTTTGTGTAGATCACAGGTATTAATTAAGAAATTAATATTAAATAATTTTAAGCTAAATTTACTTCTTTTATGTCTTTACAGGGAACACTTTCAGATTTATTGCGAAATCCAAAGCCCTGGTCAAAATTGAAATCAGGTCGTGAGACTTTTCGAAGGATGGCAAAGTGGCTTCAAGAACCAGAATATCAGAGAATGTCAGCGTTGCGATTAGCAGGTGAGAGAATTAATAGATAGTTTAAATATGAAATCAATTAAATGCATAAAATAGAAATGTGACTAAACCAGGTGTTTTACGTGGTTTATGCTACATACATGTTCAGATAGAAACATGATATCGAAAAGTGATGTAAATGTACGATAGGGGACGACATGAAGCAGCTTTATATGTGTACACATGTCATTGTCTTTAGTTGTACTGCTTAGCACGTTTTACAATCAAACAAAAACGAAAAAAAAAATTCAGCTAGGGAAGGGAATGAGAAAAAGTTTGTGACGTCACAGGGTATTTAACATTCAAATGAGATTGCTAGGGGGAAGTTATTGTTTATTAAGCTAAATACTTATGACGTCATCTTTTCTGCAATTTTAAATATATCTAATTCATTAAATTTTTGTTTTCTATTTTCCAAATTTTAGCAGCTCAAATTCCCCAACGTGGAAGTAAGTTTTATTAACAAAATTTGTCTTGCAATTATGATTAACCTTTTCATTTGTCTTTTCTCAAACTGCTGGTGGTAATGTAGCGTGTAAGCGCAAGGATGATCCTCGTAGCCCTGATCATGTCCCGCAACCAAAGAAACCACGTTTAGTTTTCACTGACTTACAGAGACGTACCTTACAAGCAATATTCAAGGTTTGTTAATAAGTAAGTAATTTGAATTTTGTATTTAATGAACATTTGATTTGTAGGAAACAAAGCGACCGTCCAAGGAGATGGTTGTCACCATAGCCCGTCAGCTTTGTCTCCAAGCAACAACAGTTGGAAATTTCTTCATGAATTCTCGCCGCCGATCATCGGATAAATGGCAAGAAGAATCTCACGACGATGATGATGTGATGGGAGATGAAGAAGACGATGACACAGCTGACGATGAATGTCCTATGGATGCAGTGCAACAACACAACACAAAACAGCAAATACAATATCATCTTCAGCAACATCACGCCCAACAAGCAGCTCAATCTGCAGCTGGTCATCAGTCGGGACATGATGAAATGTGACAAAACAACAACAGCAAATATCCGGCTTACAATCACTACAATGATACTCAACCAAATTATGATGAAAGTGAAGAAAATATGGTTCCCAATGGTAACCGGACAGTGCTTAAATATTACAATAATAATAACCATCAATCTGGTCACGACAACTCTCAGAAAATGAATGAACATAATGATAACTTTAGTAGTGATGATTCTAATGATGGTGATAAGGATAGTTCGCAAATCATGATGCCGACTATTGTTGCAACAGATGAAGAAGATAATGACGATGTTGATGATGAACATCAATCGGATGACGACTATATTGGACTTTATGATAATGGCGAAGCGCTTAACAAACTTGTTGATGAATTTTAGTCGAAAGAAGATCAGAGGAATGGAATTCTCACAACTGTATTACGTTTAGAAGGTGTAGTAATTTAGATTTCCACCTGGTCTCCTCTTTTACTTTTCAATTTCCAAGTGAATAAAAAGAAACCTTCACGACTCATTAGAATATTGTTGAAAAGCGCAGATGATGGATACAGACACATTTTTTATTAATGCCTTGCGGTCGTAGCCCGCCCTTAAATAAAAGAGAAGAAAAGAAAAATCTTAAAAAAAAATTAGAGAAGCAAAATAAGTAAAATTATTAAACATAAAGTCAGCAGCGTAAATAAATAAATAAATAAAAAGAAAAAATGTTAATTATAGTGATTGATAAAGAAGAAAGTGAAATGCATTGTAATGCTATAGAATATAATAAGATTATAGGACATCAATGAGGTTATTGAGTGGGAAGACAAGATTTGATTGCAACATCTTTGAAGAGACTTCTTCGAATTACCTTTGAAGGTCAACAATTTTTGTCTATCTTCTCATTCATAATTACAAACAATTTGTAGATTGATTAATGAAACTTTCTTTGATTTTTATTAGCAATTTCAAACCAAAAAAAAAAATGAAAAAGAAATCAGCTAAACAGCTAAAACCAAAGATGATCAAAAAGTTATTACTTATCTACAACCAAAGATAAATGAGATTTATTTGTAGGTGACAGTTTTAAACCGCTATTTACTTAGACATTAGTCTTACACATACACACGGACACGACATGATTGAATTAAGACACGTACGACACATTATTGATAATTTAATTTATTACACTTCTTTCACTTGGACGACACGCAAAATAAAACAAAAAAAAGAGAATTACACTCAAATTATAATGAAGATCAAGTCATGAGAAGAATCCACTAATAATTAACTTTAAGATGATGAAAAACTAGTGCAAATAATACTAAAACTTAAGAAATGAAATCCTTGAAAGAAATTAAAAGCTAATTAATACCTTTCCTAGATGAAAACTAAAAGAAAATTCTTTTTCGGCATTTACTTGTAAAACATCATCAAGTGAAAGGCTGAAAGTAAAAACTTTATAAAATAATTCAATTAATTTACATGCTTTAATTTAAAAGAAATTCCTTTTGAGATTTTTCTAGTCACGCAAATGCTTTTGGTTTCAATTTTGCTTTTTAGTTTCCTGTGATACTCAAAACGATAACATTTTTGTTTGTAAAACTTTTTCTAGTCTCTGAAATGCTAAATAAGAAAACATGTAGCAAGCAGTACATGATAGATGAGAAATTCCTTATTTGTAATCATAACAAAGAATATTAATTTATTTTATTTATGTTTTCTTCGCCTGCATTCAAAACAATTAATCTTAGAAAGAATCTTTTTCGCTTATAAAATATTAATTTAGATTCTCTATGAAAAAGAAAAAGAAAAAATTGTAAAGCAAAGATGTCATGAGAGTTATTGCTAGTTTGGAGGCTACTTTTGACAAGGTATAAAAGTTTATCTGACTTTCAACCTCCTTCTATCAATCCTCTCACTGACAATGAGGACAAATTGTACATTGTAATAAAAGACAAAACAGAAGAAAAAAAACTGAAATAAACAAAAAAAAAGTGATGATAAATTTGAAAACGATGGAGTTGTAATTGTGATGATGTCTTAAGATAAGCACGCAAGTGGGTCATTTTATTTCCTCTTCATTACACCTTACACACAACCCCCAAAGTCGTTCGTTTCAATGAGCAGCATTATAAATAACTTTTTCTTGTATTTAGCTTTCAGTGAAAATGAACTCACACGCTCTTTTGTCATGTAACATTTTCCATGTATCTATATCAAAATAATTTTTGATTCATCCGATGCGCATGTGCGAAGTGTGACATACAAGAAAAAAGTGAATCTAAAGAAACGTTTTAGAATGGACTAAAATTTCATCAAATGTTTTTATGTCGTTTTTATTCCTTCATGCTGTACAACATTTGGTCATGAAACTCTTTTTCCTTCTCTCTTGTGCTTTCATTTCGTGAGCTTTTCTAAAAGCTTCTCTCTCTCGAGCTTTGTCTCTCTTTTCTATATTAAGTTATTTAATTTATACCAAAAAAAAATTGAATGTTAGGACCAGAAGAAAGATTTTCTCTTCTCCCCATTCGGAAAATCGAGAGAGTGACTCTCTTCTTCCTGTAAAACTTTCCCGTCTTTCAGTGAAGAAAAATCTTTCATTTTTTGTGTAAAAAAATGGCGAATCGGTTTACAAGTGATATAAAAATCTATTAAGAAAAAAAGTGAAAATCTCAATTTGATTGCATTTTAATTGGCTTTTTATCTAAACTAACAGTGACATATTTAATCAGGAAAGTCGAATTTTGACAATAGAACAATTAGAAATGAAGAGAAACCACGAAAAATATGTGAAAACTTTCATTGCTGGAAAAATGGATTTCTAACTCAATGGAAAATTTATTTTTACAATATTATCAATGAAAGTTTCATAACTCAAGCAATCAACATTCTACAACAACGCATCACAGGGAATTTAATATTATCAAAAGATGTAAGTGAAGTGAATTGAAGTGCAAAATAATTTTTGCATATCAAGTGGAAAAAATTACGACGAAGTTCACGAGCAAAGAAAAAAAGAATAAGAAACCATGAAACCTTCAATATTCCTAATTTTTCTTGAAAAGCAATCAAGTTAATTTCAATGTTGTAACACTTTCCCATTTCTCGTAACCAAATTAGGTATTTGTCAAGGCCATTTGCGTTTTCTCCCACGTTATCGTTTTTTACAAATTTCCAGTAATCTCATTAACTTCTATTTCTAATGTTAGTCAAAAGGTTTCTGGTTTAACATCCGTGACACGCACAACCCTGCAAACTATTTTAACGCTCGCCACTCATGAAACTGAATTTTATGTCATTGCAGATATTTTTGTCCGCGTTTATCATTACAAACCTTTTAATTTATTTTTGGTTTTCAACTGAAAGCCCATTGAAAGAACCAACTTCAGAAAACAAGGCAACGAATAGAAACGAAATAGAATTGAAGCGCTAAACCTAGGAGTTGCCACCGTACGAAAAAATTCCTCCACACATGGCATCAGTGGCAGCGGCATGGTTGCCGGTAAGATCAACATAAATTTTCTCTAATAATTTTCATAAATTTTAAATTCAAAATTAAAGTTTGCCCGAGCCGCGGCCGTTGGCTGGGTTCCAATCGCTGCAAGTCCATTACCACCACCGCCGGTTCTAAAGGACCGTCGTAAGCCCGAAGATGAGAAAATGTTAATAAATGTCTCGGGACGACGATTTGAAACATGGCGTAACACATTAGAAAAATATCCTGACACTCTTCTCGGCTCAACTGAACGTGAATTCTTCTACGATGAAGAAACTTCAGAATATTTCTTCGATCGGGATCCCGAAATATTTCGACATATTTTGAATTATTATCACACGGGAAAGCTTCATTATCCACGACATGAATGTCTTCTTAGTTACGACGAAGAACTTTCGTTTTTTGGCATCTTGCCCGATGTCATTGGTAAGTTTAGAAACTTTTATTACACTTTTTAACTTTTTTTTCGACCTTAAATTTCTTTTCAAGGCGATTGCTGTTACGAAGAATATCGCGATAGAAAACGTGAGAATACAGAAAGATTAATGGATGATAAGCTTTCGGAAAATGGTGAAACAAATTTACCACCATTGACAAATACAAGGCAAAGGATGTGGCGAGCTTTTGAAAATCCACACACGTCAACATCTGCTTTAGTTTTCTACTACGTCACCGGATTCTTTATCGCTGTTTCCGTCATGGCGAATGTTATAGAAACTGGTAAGTCATTTGTTAAAAAAGATTTACTACGTTTCGGAAATAATAAACTTAATTTTCAGTTCCTTGTGGACATAGACCGGGACGTGCTGGAACGCTCCCATGTGGTGAACGATACAAAATTGTATTCTTCTGTCTCGACACAGCTTGTGTGATGATTTTTACTGCTGAATATTTGCTTCGACTTTTTGCAGCACCAGATCGTTGTCGCTTCATGAGAAGTGTCATGTCGGTGATCGATGTGGTGGCCATTATGCCATATTACATCGGATTGTTTATGCAAGACAATGATGATGTGTCTGGGGCATTTGTCACGCTGCGTGTTTTTCGTGTTTTTAGAATTTTCAAGTTTTCACGTCACTCACAAGGGTTGAGGATTCTCGGTTACACACTGAAATCTTGCGCCTCTGAGCTAGGTTTCCTCGTATTCTCTCTTGCCATGGCAATTATAATTTTTGCTACTGTCATGTTCTATGCTGAAAAGAACGTCGACGGAACAAACTTTACGTCAATTCCAGCTGCATTTTGGTACACTATTGTGACAATGACAACTCTAGGTTATGGTGATATGGTGCCAGAGACAATTGCTGGAAAGATTGTTGGTGGAGTATGTTCATTGAGTGGTGTGCTTGTGATCGCTCTTCCCGTTCCTGTCATTGTATCAAACTTCAGTCGAATCTACCATCAAAATCAACGAGCTGATAAAAGAAAAGCGCAAAGGAAAGCAAGATTGGCGAGAATTCGTGTGGCTAAAGCTAGTTCATCAGCAGCATTTGCAAACAAGAAGAAATTGGCTGAAAGTCGAATGTTACGACACGAACAGAATGGATTCGATTCCGAAGATTTTAGTGACGAAGACATTTTCGAGTTGCAACATCATCATTTACTTAAATGCCTCGAAAAGACAACTGTGAGTTATAAGAAATTTCATTTAACGAGCGTATCGTGATTTGTTTGTTTTAAGGATCGTGAATTTGCTGACCTTGACGCTCCATTCAATGGCGCAACGAAAAATGGTTCACCGTCACCACTTACAAGTCCAATTCACGCAAGAATTGGCAAAATTGGATTTTTCCACAAGTGTTGTGGTCGTTGCTGTTCGGGAAAGCGATATAAGGTAAATGTAATGAATTGAAGACTCCAGAATTCCTTTTGTGGCGTTGTGTGTAAACCAAAAGTGTACTTTCATGAAACTCTCGTGTTCTTTTATTTACTTAAATTCTAGTAGGAAAAAAGTTTTTTTCTTATAATCAAATTAAAGCTTAAATTCTTCTGGCTTTATATTCATTAAACCTTCTAATTGCTTATGAAATTTTATAT